ATGGTCACGTATATGGAATTGCCCCCCTCCCCTTCGACATTAATATGAATTTGCCTGTCACCCCACAATGCCATTTAATATGGAGTTTCTCCCCCGCATGAACATCAATATGGAACCCCACCCATGGTCACTAATATGAAGTTGCGCCTCTCCCCATGGTCATTAAATTATGCCCATTTGTGAGGTCGGGTACTGATGTTGGATGAGAAGGCCAGGCTCACAATCAGCGTTCCAATTCATCCCAAAAGGTGCTCAGTAGGGTGGAGGTCGGGGATCTGTGCAGGACACTCGAGTTCCTCCACCAAACAGGTCACACCGTGTCTTTATGGAGCTGGCTTTGTACACACGGGACAGTCATGGTGGAACAGAGATGGGTCTTCACCAAACTGTTACCACAAGGCACGTACTTTTGATGTTATATATCATGTGTATGTGTGCTGGTCAACTGTCTAGATACATCTGCCAATATTGTGCACATCAAAAGAAAAAAATGTAACTGGACTCTGTTTCTGTCTCAGGCTTTCTTTGAGGTTGAAGATGTGAACTGCATTGCTGTGGACTGGGCCGGTGGATCCCGCACAACCTATTCCCAAGCCGCTAACAATATCCGTGTTGTGGGGGCAGAAATTGCATATTTTGTTAACTATCTCTCGGTAAGCCTGTGAAGGTTCTCATGTTTCCTGGTCATGGTACAGCCAGTTATAGGTGGCCACCATCATCTAGACTTGTTCTGTAATCCTAAAGACATTTCACTGTGGCCTCCTCAATTCTAATGAATGGCAACAATTTGACCCTTGACAACCGTTAGCCATGTAATGCAAACAGTAGACACCTGTCCCGCCACCATGGTGAAATAGAACAGGGGTTCACATATTTTGCTCACGTCTCATCATGTTCTTGGACAATCTGACTCTATTTAAACAAAGATATGTTGGTGGAGCCATGGGTCAGGATTATGGTAGCTTTTTTAGATCTGTTGATATTTTGGTTAAGAGGCTCCTCTCTAAGATTTAGTGGGTCTGAAGAAAAGATCCCAAGACTGACAGCAGTAAGTTTTGTAGTGTGTAGAGAGCACCGCATGTGTGGTTGAGTGTTCAGTTCAATTTTTATTTTAAGATAATCAGGCCCGTGCAAGTGAGGGTTGGAGGGAAACCAGACTGACAATGGTTATTCTGGAGTAGATTTCTTTCCCATAAGAAGGGCCTGCTATGGTCGCGAGTCAAGCGGACACATTCTACAGTAACTGTCTGATGGTGACTGGGTCGACTCTAAATATTTAGTGAATGTTTCCAACACTCTACTCACATTAGAATTGAGCAAGTCACTTGGATGAGAGGCAAAACGCCTTGAATATTATAGAAGTACAGCTGAACTTCACTAACTACTATAATGTCCTGGTAAAGAAAAAAAAAAAACCTCTACATCCCCTCCCTGCAGATTTGAGCATTTGTAGAACTTAAGGGACATTCTTCAATGGGCTCCACTTATGGGGGTTGGAGACCCCTCCCCCCCCCAAAAAAAAACCCCATAACTCAAGACTTCTTCAGAGCTTCAATTCTGACTTTGGGAACTTACTTACGAGAGGCCTCTCTTTCACTGGTATTTCCATGCCCCTACACCCACATTCCCAATGCTCACCAAGGCCACCATGAGGGCAGGGCTCAAGGTTATATGGCTTAGGAGAAGGCTTAGGAGAAAAAAAAAGAGAAGGGAGATCCATATACAGTACACCACAGCAGTGGTAGACCATTGGCAGGCCAGCTACCAGTCTCCCAAACAGAGCTGGTTCACATAATCTGTACCTCTGGTATAGGCTTAAGCATCAACTCTAGAATAAGAAGGGGAGACCCGGAAAAGAAGGGGAGACCCGGTCTGAAGAAGTTTCCTGCATCAGCCTGTGTGTGTGTGCCATTATTAGGCTGAGGAGGATGACGGTTGGGGGAACTCGAGGGGAGGAAGAGAAGGAATGCAAACAGGCTTCATGGGGAATGTTTCAACCTTCTCAAAACCTGGGCATTATACATGGGTGGAGGGAGCAGTTTGAGGACAATGTTGTCCTCAGTGACACGTGTGTCTGATAAGGACACCTCAGAAAAAGTCTTGTTATACTGAAGTGAATCAGATTTGGAAATCTAGTTCTAAAACATAAAACTGAATTTCATGGCCAAACATGCACTTCCAGGTTAATGCTGTCCGTGAACATCTTGCTGTTCTGTAACACCTCATGCAGCTCCAACACATCCTCAAAAGAATTGTGTATTTTGAAGCCACATGAAAGGTCCTCTCCCCCCAATTTTGGCTTTGGTTATGTCCCCTGTGACAGTGCCGGGCTTCCTATAACTCTTCTTTTCCAAAAGTTAGTTTTTTAACCCCACAAAAGAGGAATATTTAGTTTTTCTCCCCATGATCCTCAATGGGGTTCTGGGAAAATTTCAGGTTTTCTTCATTTTATTGATGTTTCAGAAAACGGGACGCAAATTGCACCCAGGCGGGTTCACTCAGCGTCAATGATCTTTGGTAGTGTGAGCTGCAAATCCTCTTGTGCTGAAATAAGCTGCTTTTTAGGACACATAAAGATCTTCATTCTTCTGATTTCATATTAGACAGCCCTGGGATATTCGCCTTCCAACGTCCATGTGATTGGACACAGCCTGGGGGGTCATGTTGCCGGAGAGGCCGGGAAGAGAATGAGAGGCATTGCCCGGATCACAGGTGACAACTCACAAGGGGCACAGGGAAATAGTTGGGGAGGGGAATGAAGAAATCCGTAGAATTCTTACATTGTCCACACTCCATTCGCTCAGGTCTGGATCCCGCCGAGCCGTACTTCCAGGACACACCCGCCGAGGTCAGGCTGGATCTGACAGATGGTGTATTTGTTGATGTCATCCACACTGATGCCGGAGCTGTCCTGCCTAACCTAGGTCTGTATTCCTGAACAATATTCATAACAAAAAGACATATTTGGGGTAATCTGCCACCTTCTGTACTATCTAAGCTAAATGTACCCTGAATAGGCTGACCTGAGACCCCAATGGTACCAGAGCCTCAATCACACATTTTCTCGTTGCTTTTGGCTAGAGGCTTTACAGTCCTCATACAGAGAAGACCAGACAGTCCTCATACAAAGGAGACCAGACAGTCCTCATACAGAGGAGACCAGACAATCCTCATACAGAGGAGACCAGACAGTCCTCATACAGAGGAGACCAGACAGTCCTCATACAGAGGAGACCAGACAATCCTCATACAGAGGAGACCAGACAGTCCTCATACAGAGGAGACCTGACAGTCCTCATACAAAGGAGACCAGACAGTCCACATACAAAGGAGACCAGACAGTCCTCATACAGAGGAGACCAGACAGTCCTCATACAGAGGAGACCAGACAGTCCTCATACAGAGGAGACCAGACAGTCCTCATACAGAGGAGACCTGACAGTCCTCATACAAAGGAGACCAGACAGTCCACATACAAAGGAGAACAGACAGTCCTCATACCGAGGAGACCAGACAGTCCTCATACAAAGGAGACCAGACAGTCCTCATACAGAGGAGACCAGACAGTCCTCATACAAAGGAGACCAGACAGTCCTCATACAGAGGAGGAGATCCTCCCCGCGGTGTAACCTGTCATGGACAGAGCCCTCATCGGTGAGGAGCAAGTGAGGGACAGGGAGGCTCCTCACTGTCTCCTCCCTTGCTCCTTTACACTAGCTTGGGAATGGGGCTTCGTCCGGGGAAGCGGGGCTTCAATCGGCTGGGGTGGGGCGTGCTGGGGGCGAGGCTGGGGAATGCCTCACCCGGAACAAGAGGTACCACACGTCACTGCCTCATACAGAGGTGAGAGGAGACCAGACAGTCTTGATACAGAGCTCAGAGGAGACAAGACAGTCCTCATAAAGAGGTCAGAGAAGACTAGATAGTCCTCATACAGAGGTCAGAGGAGACCAGACAATCCTCATACAGAGGTCAGAGGAGACCCGACAGTCCTCATAAAGAGGTCAAAGGAGACTAGATAGTCCTCATACAGAGGTCAGAGAAGACCAGACAGTCCTCATACAGAGGTCAGAGGAGACCAGACAGTCCTCATACAGAGGTCAGAGGAGACCAGACAGTCCTCACACAGAGGTCAGAGGAGACCAGACAGTCCTCATACAGAGGTCAGAGGAGACCAGACAGTCCTCATGCAGTTATGTCTCCACCTCTACAAGGGAGTAGGGATTGCCAGCATGGCAAACTGAGATGTGACCAGTCCCGGGCTTCAGTGGCTAGGTTTCTATGTCTCTGTTTATGATGAGCTCGGGGGAGACCTTGCCTAGGAAGAGGACAGTATGGAATATCCATAGGAATAGACCTGAGTATTGTATTGGAGGGGACCCCATACTAAGGGGGCTATTTATAAAGGAGAGCGAATAGCACAGTGTTTACATGCAATGA